CTCATGCAACCAAAATGTAGTTAGGTCTGTCTTCTATTACACAGTGAAAACAAATAAAGGAAGTGCTAAGTGAATGAAAGTAAGTTTGGCGAATTTGACACTCACAGGACCATACCGAAAGCAAGTGGGGGATGGAAGGAAAAAGCAAATAACCTACCTAACGACCTCGCGTGAATATTTGGCAGAATAAAGGGTTCAGAATTCCTTGTAGAGTACCAAGATCAATATACATCTGAGGAAGGCGGGACGAAACAATGGCCGAAACGCTATGATAACAACAACTAAGATGATGATAATAGTCCGAATATAAAGTTTAAATAATTTTACCCATGTTGTACAGACGCAGCAGTAAAATTACTACGTATTCTAAGGAATGACGACCAAGGCAAATTATATTTGATTAACACGGATGGGTTTGAGATATTGAGCTATTCGCCTTTTCGAATGCAGTCAAAGAAAGTATTCCTTTGTCAATGACAGCAGATGGAATTCTGTGACCTGTCAAATGGAATTCTATGAGGTTGCTATATTTCACCGGAAAGCATATTTGTCTTGCTTTCGCTTTCGGTGTTATGCAAGCAAATATAATAATAAAAAAGAAGAGTAAAAAGAAGCAGGTGAGCGAAATTAGATTATTTAATTTGCGGACATTATCTTTTGTCTTTTTTCACGAGAGAATTCCTCAGATGAATCATTATGGAAAATCATATATTAGATGGAGGAATGCGATAATAACGCGAGTTGAGATGACACTGTTCCAAGGTTACTATAGTTGTTTACTTCACACAGGTTTTTAGACGCCATTCTTCAAACTGAGGCAAAACACTAGAAATTTGAATACTAAGGCTTACTGAGCTATACCACTTTGAAAATCAAGTGAAACACAACCCTTTTACTGTGTTCATCCCATTTAATCTATCTATCTATCTATATCATTAAAAGGGATTAATTTTCCTTGTGTTTTCCGATGTTTAACCGTTGTCTTCTGGGTGTAGTAGTAACGCCAATTTTCTTGGACTTGTGGCGAAAGTATTCTTCTGCTTAAGGGGTAATAAAACAATTAGGATTGGTCAGAGAAAGGGAGAAGGAAAGAGGTGTTCATTCTTATCTTTTTATGACCCCTGTATCTTCTTAGACTTATCTCCATTTTTGTGTATTGTCTGTCCGTGTTTGTTCTTGTATGCATATTCCTTCTCCATACATATGTACTTTTTATTATAAGGAATTTAAATGTTCTTATCTTTTACTTCAAGGAAGCCACATACCTAAGCCAAAGTGTCCTTCTAGTTCGGCCACGGAGCTAAACTAACAGAACAAAGCTGGATTTGCTTGTTAAGTAAAACATGTTTATCTCGTTGGAACATCTGCGCATCCATATCTGTTAGCTTCAGTATCATATCCAAAATATAAACAAGAGTATCTATCTATCTATCTATCTATCTATCCAGGAAGAGATTATAGTTGTCCCCACGAGAGAAAAGTGTATATTTTAAAAAAGAGAGAAACTGCAAACGTTTCTGGTTATAATGTAGATTTTTAAAATATATATTATACTTTATTTTCCGTATTTTTCTACACGTGCTTCCGGTCTCGCCACCTTCATCAGGCAAAGAGTGGTTATTTCCACATATTATTAAAAGGAATTAATTTTCCTTATGTTAACCGTTGTCTTCTGCGTTCAAATTAATGTAAAAAAGGCATTTTGAATTTTTTCTAAGTGTATGAATGTGCCGCTTGTCTGATGGTTTACTGTTCGGGACGGGTTCGAATCACGTTGGAATCAATCTTTCACGAATAATCTTGCTGGTAATGTTTCTTTTTTCAAAAATTTATTGCTGGTAATGTTTTTAAATGCATTGATGGTAATATTTTTTTTCGAAAAATGTATTTTGATCATATTTCTCCACGGAATCCGTTTTTAATGATTGCGAAATGCCGTGGCTTTCTAGGAAATATAGTGAAGTATTTTCCCGTTGGTTTCTCCTCGGTTTGAAATTCAGTGTTTTTCTTCTCTTAGACTAGTTGCCATCAAAAGCTAGAGAGCCTAGTCTACGCTACTGTTTGACCCATAGATGTGGGTGTGGGAGAAGGGAAGGGATCATGCCCTTTTCTTTTGCTGCTGTGCGAAAGCCCGGAATTTGAACTCGGTTTATCGATCCCACGTTCTCGCGCTGATATCCATAACACTACCCGCCCATCGTAGTATAATGATAATGTTAATAATAATCTTTTCTTCATAAGGAAACATTCGGCATTCATTGACCGAGCAGCCAGTACTGGTGTCGGTTGAAATTTATCCGAGCTTTCTCTTAAAACAATTTTTTCAGGAAAATTAACTGGGTGTGATTTCAATACCCGGTTAAGGCAGTGGAGAACTTGGAGAGGGGAATTAACAGGAGGTAACTGATAACTGACATCCATGGCACGTGGAACTAGAAAAGTCTGCCCCAGTGAGCGAAATAAAGGGTTCAATTCGACATTCCAACCACGTGAATAATGCCGGAGCGTACAACAGCCGAAACGTTGTAATAGATATGGCGACAAAGATGAGGACAATAGTCCAAATAATGTAAATAGTGTACATAATACCTCATCTCAGAAATATAGACAGATACAGTGTAACCCGGATATAAGAGAGTTGCCGGGACTGGAGAAGAAGATTGGTCTATTATATATACATTAACACAGGCTCTAATTTGGTACCAGAAAAAAAACTCTTATATCCAGGTTTCTCTTATATCCGGGTTACACTGTACTGGAGGTTATCGGACATTAACAGTTTCTTGACCATTTTCTATTAAAAGTAACATCTTACAGACAGAAAAACTAAAAGTGACTTTGGAAGTTTCTGAACTTCAGCGTTAACCACTGTCTTGTTAAAACAAAAACTTCGCCTAAATTATTTGTGCTGTTCTATCAAAAGTTATTGCACGCCATGTTTTTCAATGAGGATAAAATACTCATGTCTGTTTGGGTGTGTACATCAACGCAAGTGGAAAGTTCTCTTTGATTCAACCTGACCTAATCCTGTTGAAGGTGACGTCGAATTTTATGGCAAACAGGTTAAACGTTGCATCTCACCCAGTCAATATATGTTTGAGCATGCGCACTGTATGTATCTTTATGTATGTCTCTGCCTCGTTTTTATTTATTAGTCTGTGTGTTTCAGTTGTGTTTCGCGAAATGGACGCCAATGCCGAATTTCTTGGCAACAAGTCATTTTTCAATTGCGGTTGAAGCAAATAAATTTGTATCTCAGTCAGAGAAATCGACGATAACCAATTAAATTACGACAGTTCGGAATAAAAAGTAAATTCATACGAGATTTGTGTCCGGATCTCGTACCAACAAGAGTTCAGTATGTCTCGTATTAACGGGGTTACAGTATGTCTCGTAGTTAACGTTTATAATATCATGAGAAAGAAGCTTGCCTTGGAGGAGATATAGTTGCATCATTTTCTACCAGTAAGAAGATCGCTGTTCGTGCCGACTAAAGGCCAGTATTTCGAATAGGGATTTCAAAGCTGACAGATCATTTCCAACTAGAATGTTCGAATCTCATAATCTTTATGCCCTGACTCAAACGTTATTGTATTTTTTATCAGCAATGTTATCAGTTTTTACCTTGCATCTCGGCTTCAATCACTTTCCCACTACTGCTTCCTGTGCTTTTTCTATAAATATTTCCATGGTAATTGTTCTGATGAGCTTTCGCTACACGCTACATCGATTATTATTATTTTTTTTTTGTTGAGCAGCATATTAACACTTTACTGGTCGTTTAAAGCCGAAATTTAATTTTCTTGGGAGCATTAATAATTTTTTCTTTAAAAAAAATGTATTGCTGGTAATTTTTTTACCTTACAGATATGTATTGTTGGTAATTTTTTTAATTTTTAATTTTTTAGAAAGACGTATTGCTGGTAACTTTTTTTTTTTACTATGAAAATGTATTGTTAGTATTTTTCTCTAATTTTTTTTTTATATTTTCAAGGTATTTTGAACCTAGTTTGGGGGTTAACTATTTGCCCATAGCTGGGACCCTAACAGGTGCTGCCACCCCAGGTTACGGTGGACCTGGGAATAACAGCAATTAAGAGGTGGTTCCAAGCTCCTCAAAAACAACCGGATCGGAGGCCTTGCTGCCGGATGTAGTTTATCGTCATACCTAGGAGATCGGTACATCGTCTTCATGTATTTAAGTGTCCTGCTAAATTTAAAGCCAAATCTCATCATTTTACTGATGAAATTTCTAACTGTAATCATAGTTTATATTCTAATGGTTTATTCTCTCGCACTCCTTACCTGTGGAACTTTCTCCCAGTTTCCTTCTTTCCTGTCAACTACAATCTTCAAAAATTTAAATGCAACATCAATCGTTATCATTTTGTCTCTCTGAATGCTGTTCTTTATATTCTCCTCTTTCTTAACTTTTGCCCATTTTAATTCGATCTTAGTAATCTCCCTTGGCGTCTTAGCCGCTTTATCTCCTTGTTTAGGGTAAAATGATTAAAAATGTTATTTGAAGTGAAATCACAAAGAATATCTCTGGGTGAAAATTACTGACCTTCTTTTACAATATTTCTTTTAGAGAATTTATTTTATGAAAATTAAATCTACTTAAACATTGTAACAGACATTTAGTAATATATGTCCATCTCGCAAAAAGCCGTTTATTAATATCAACCAGTTATTGTAATCAAAAAAAGGTGGCACCAAAATAATTTTTTATTTATTGATTCGTTTTCTACGGCTTATCAATACTTTGATGATTATTTAAAAACAGAAAATATTTTTAGATTACAAGAATTATTTTTTGAAGATCAAAAATGGTTTAGTGATTCAGGTCGTACATTAGTACGACTTGAATCATTAACCCTTAGCTGGACCGGAGAAAAGTATATTTCCGCATAAGTGAATATATCAAACCCGATTGGAACTCGGCTCGTCCGATTAACGATTCCAGGGACATTATCCATTATACCACCAACAAATCCAAGCTTACAGCACTTGGCATTCCCAAGCGGTCACCCTCTTGGCACTGGCTAGGATCGACGTTGCTTAACTTCCATGATCGTACGGGAACAGATGTTTCAACGTGATGTGGCCGTAAGACACTACTGAATGTAGTGGCTTACGGCCACGTATGCATATTTAGTTATTATGCATCTGTGTACAGTTAATTATACGAAAGTTATGGCACGGTGGAGTAATGGATAGCAGCTCGAATTGAGGAATCGGAGTAGCCGAGTTCGAATTCCAGTCAAATCCATTACATTCACTTACGTTCACCTGAATAAACAAATACACAGTTACGTACATGTAAGCACATGCGCTTTGTGTAAGCATATAACATATTTATATGTGCATATTATACGCACAAATGCGATTCAGGAACCGTGAACAACGCGCAAACCTGATGTGGTGCATAATTTTATAAGGCGTAAACTTTTGTGAGTTTTTAGCATGCAACGTGGTAGAGTGAAAAACTCAGTAATTTTCTTTATGGGAAATTTTCAGACTGTATATTATAATAACTGCATTGTAAGAATACTTCGCCCATTAAAGTAAATTAATTGGATTTATTTCTATTAAATCAATTTGTCCCGTTTTCTATGTATATTTAGTTAATATGCATTTGTGTACTGTTAATCATATGAAAAGTATGTGTATTCATTAGTTGGAAATACAGTTAATTAAAAATTTGTATGTGTACGAATATCTGTTTCCCCCACTGGATATATGTATTGTCACTTAGCTGATAAATTCAACAAAAAGTGTTAAAATTTTAAGTAATAGGTTAATTTCATTATTATTATTATTAATATTATTATTATTAGTAGTAGTAGTAGTATCAGGAGAAGAAGGAGGAGTGCTACTATTATGAAACATTTGACAAAACCATTCAGGAGGAGAAATGCAATCTGGCCCGAAGGGAAGTTGCAAATTAATTTTAAAAATGACAAGGAATCTTCAATTTTGACATGACTTCTCGAAATCCAGACGATGATCCCAAAACAGAATATATATATATATATATATATATATATATATATATATATGTAAATCAAATTAAATTACACAAAAGTGTAAACCTAAGCATTTTAATAAAGGGTGTTCCAATAACTTGAACCGATTTTAAATGTGAATTAAGTTTATGCGTCTAATGATTTTTTCTTTTTCTTTCAGAACTTTAACAACTTAAGTCTTTGTCAATTTCAACCATGGGAAGATTAACAATTAAACAACGTGTTAAAGTTATCGAAGCCTATTACAAAAATGGACGTTCAAACAGAAATGCATTTCGCGCACTTGGTGATTTTTTGGTCAACATAATCAACCAAAAGAGAATGCAATTGGAAACGATGTAACGTTGTTGTAGAGAGTTTCAATTCCTGCGCGCGATGACGAATAGAGATGTCTGGATTTTCAGCCACATTCTCGTGTACAGTAGCAATGTTTTCAACTGAACGGCGTAAACGAGTGCGCAATGGTGTTTTCACATCTGCCACTGACCCAGTTTGTTTGAAATTATGAACAATTTTTCCAATTATACTCTTGAAACTTTAACACGTTGCTTGATTGTTAATCTTCACATCGTTGAAATTGCCAAAGACTTAAGTTCTTAAATCTGAAGAAAAAATCATTAGACGCTCAAACTTAATTCACATTCAGAATAGGTGCAAGTTATTGGAACACTCTTTATATTTATATATATATATATATATATATATGTGTGTGTGTGTGTGTATGTGAGCGTGTGCGCGTGCATGAGTGTGTGTGAAATATATATATATATATATATATATATATATATATATATATATATATATATATATAAGGTACAAACTCTATAAAGTGTAATTGAAGGACGAAATGGAAAATCCCATGTGACACATTTCGTCCTCTGGAAGGTCTTCCTCGGACTAAATAATAATTTTATCGACGGAATCCTATGCACGATAGGGGCCTAAATTTAACATTACGACCTATTCACCGCTCGATGTTCAGATCAGGCACTGAGAAGCTTGAAAATCTACAGGTCAAAGTGCTCTACTTGATCATCGATACAATCAATATATATATATATATATATATGGATATCTCGAATCAGGAATTATTCACAAATGAATGATATTATCTTAGAAATGTTTCTTTTTAGAAAATCTAAATGCCCCACTTATTTAATTTTATGATAATTCGAGAAAGTCACTGGTATAAAACATCAATTTGTTTTGTAAAACAGGATCCCCACTTACTGAAAATCTGCTCTAAATCGTAAAACAAAAAAAAATGCAATAAATATAAGACATTATTTGATATGAAAAGTTTTTAATTGCTTTTATGAATAAAATTATTAAGGACGCCATTGTCTTAAGAAAAAAACTCGCTTAGTAATGAATGTTTACAAGATTTGTTTTCATTTTGTTTAACTCTTAAAATTCTGATTCAATGGTGTAAAGGTTATCAAACTGTTAACATGTCAACAGCTTAAATAAACAGCTACCGTAATGTTAAATAAATGTATTTCTGTGATATTTTAAACTTAAAACAAGTTATATTTATTTAAGTTCAGAATAATTAAACTTTAAATCAGCTAGCATTCCCCAAATAAATTTTCAGAAAAGTATATTTTATTTTTGGAAATTTTTTAATAAAGAGAATTACATTCCGATGAACGAAGGCTAAAAATGGTGCTGAAGAAAAACAAACAAAAAAAAAAAAACTCCTTCCAGTCAATTTAAATTAGTTTTAAAATAGAGCAAAGTATTTTGTTTATTGGAAATATTAAATTTAATCCATTAGCTTGAAATTAAAACTAAAATAAAAGCTTCAAGAAAGATTTTTAATTTTTTAATATTCATTTTAAAACCTTAGGTATCGTTTTTTTGGGAGGTCCCTATATTTGTGTGTGTATATATGTATATATAAATATGCATACTATCAAGTTCTGACCATGGCTGTTTTGTTTACTACGCAGTACCTGCCGTTTGAAAAGGTATGAATCCAGTTTGGCTTATATACGAGTATCAGGGTAGACTGATTTATCTTGCCTTGGGAATCAGAATGAATGCCAAAACTTATTAAATAAATGTTAGCCTGAAAAATTGCGATTTTTGGTTATTTGGCATTAAATTTCTTATAGCCGCCAGAATGATTTAGTTTGTTGCAGCAGGAAATGACGAAATGGAAATTGGGGAGAGAAGGAACAGAGTTAACATCAGTGGGAAAAGCGATCAGAGAGCCAAGATCTTGTGTACATAATAGCGAGTTGAATAGCCAGCGAAAGAAAGCGGCCAGAATTGTTTGATTGATTCATTTTTACTTACGCTTTTATTTGGCGTGTCACAATGTATAAACATTAGAGCAAATGAAGTACGACTGAAAAAAAAAAACACCTATAATGTCGCAGTTCAAATAAAACACCCGCACACAAAGACACACACTCACACACACATGTGCGCGCACACACACACATATATACTATGGGAATAAAAACAAAATGAAAACTTTTCTTTACCAACACGTTTCGTCCTCTGATGAACTTTATCAAGGAAAATGCAAGGATTTTGCTTTGCAACATGTATTTATAAACAGAAATAAAAATATCGACAGGTTTTCAATGTTTTTTATTTTAAGTACGCTCGGAAATATTCTTAAGGCTATCCATGAAAGTAAAGGTAAACTATGGCGGATATTAAATGATGTAATTTAATGGCTAACGAACGAAACAGAGTAAATGTTGTCATTGTTGAATCTTTTTATTTTCTTATTTCTATGTGTACCCCCTGACGAATGAACGGGGGTGATTTCTGTAGGCTCCGTCTACGAATCTCCGGAGTGAAACATTTTATATTTCTATTAATTTCTCTCATCCCATATATATATATATATATATATATATATATATATATATATATCTTCGGTAAAAGCGAATTGAGTCACTGTCGGTCACTGTGTGTGTTTATCTAAAAATAAATACGCTAAAATTCACCTTCATCCCTGCCGATGGCTTAGTGGTAGAATCTCCGACTGATACCAATTCAGTCGGGTTTCTAGTATCTAGAGGCAACCGGATATCCAGCCACACTGAAGAGCTGTGAAACAGCGAAACAATCTGTCTGTGGATGACTTTATATATATATATATATATATATATATATATATATATATATATATATATATATATGTGTGTGTGTGTGTGTGTGTGTGAGTGAGAACCTATAATCGACATATACATATATATATATGTATGGCGGTACGTATGTTTGAGTGTGGACTTCATGATGTGTGATATATATATATATATATATGTGTGTGTGTGTGTGTGTGAATTTGATGGGTTGATTAATAAAATAAAGGATAAACGAAAAGTACAATAAATATTTAATAAATATCAGCCATTTGACAGAAATGAAGCACGGACAGAAAAGATTTAACTTCGAAATTTTCGGACACGCTGGTGTCCTTTATCAATGACCCTAGGAACAAACAGAGAATTGGGAATGACTCACTGACTGACGTTTTTGTAGGTAAGGTATTTTCCAGTAGAAATTATATTATGAGCAAAACCAGATCTCTGTCTAATCACTCGATGTGCGAAACTTTTATGAAAATAAAATAAAATTTTGATCGGCGTAAAAGTGCTAGGCTGATGAACTGTTACTAGTGTGTGTCCGGGGGTGGGGGTGAGTGAGATTGTGAACATTGTTGATTAGTTGGCAGGCTCTGTCGGGGTTTGTTGCTTGTGATATTATCAGGGTAAGGTGGTGAATAATTCCACCAAATAGTATTATGAACGTTATAATTTGGGGAGGAGGAAAGATGTCTCGCGTGTCGCAACTAGTAAGCAGAAATTGAGAGATCACGTGGTCTAGTGGTGAAAGCAGGAAACTATGGTTGGGATAAGAAGAAAGAGAAAGGGAAAGAAAGAAAAAAGGGGCTAAAAAGGAAATATAATAAAATAAATATCATAACATGGAACGAAATGTTTTGATAAAAAGCTGGAAATTTACTGTTAACATTTATTTTATAATAAGATAATGGAAAACCTATGAGGAAAAAATGTTAGACATTTTCATGACGGTCGTCCTCGAGTATAGAATCTAGAGG